TTCTTAAAGGCAACATATTTTTGTAATGGAGCATTATGACTTTTTGAATGGAACATTTGTAATATAAATCCCATAAAAAAAACAAACTTACTGAAAAAGCTGCATGGAGAATCTAATGGAACTCAACTCCTTTTTACTTGCACGCTTTAAAGACAAAAGAGATTGTAGTTCTACAATTACGAGTTCCAATATGTAGTCAGGATATATTTTCCCAATTAGATGTCTATTGCCTATCGGGTCTAAAATGGAACAATATCCTCTAGATATCATGCCAGAAGAAAGATTTATTTTCTATAGCTAGCACCTATCCATGATATATATATATATATATATATATAATTTTATTATCTTTATTGATATAATGTTTAAAATAAAAAATTTAATTTATTAAATAATTTTAATGGTAAAAATAAATATCGTTCTTTTTAAAAAAATTAAATTTGATTAATTCAGAATGTGTTATCAATTAATAATAAATTTATGAATCAATAAAATCTTTAAAAGTTTTTTTAAAAGAAAATCCATGCTATTGTTTTAACTGCAACAACCGATGAATGTTATTAATTTGGATTGATTAATAATATTATAAAAATAAAAATACCAAATCAAAAGTATAACAGGGGAACTAAACCCCCATCAGACATTTAGGCTTAGTAGTAAATGTGTTATAAGTGTGTTAAGATAGATGAGATGAAACAATTAATATTTGTGAAGTTTGATAACTTTTAAGTAAGTTTTTTAATTTAAAATTTATTTATTTTAATAATTTTTACTTAAAGAGAGAAAGAAGAATTTTGCTTATAATATATATTTAACCCATAACTTAATGGAGAGAGAAAATATTAAATGAAAACTTTTAACCACAAGATCTATCGAGTGGTGACTTTAAATTTAAATCTTGTATGCGAAAAGAATAATACAATCAATATTTGTTTAGTAAGAAGTTTACTATTTTTTTGAAGTAAGATCTTGAATTTGAATTTTATATAAGAAAGGAATAATGATGGCGGAGCCTCTTAATAGAGGGGTTCAACCCAAATTTTTTTATAACTAATGGTATTTAACTCATTTATTGATCATTATAGATAAGATATTGTAAAAGTTTATTATAAGATCATTTTTTTCAATTTAGTTTACACCATTCACGATATTAATACTCAAATTCTAGACATTATTTAAGAGATTTAACATCTCGTCTTATTAGACCATTTGATAATTAATAGGTTGAATCTAATTTAATTTTGAATATAACACATATAAAAAAATACATAGAATCCAAACGGAGCAAACCAAATTCCTTTCCCTCTTCTTATCGAGCTCTCAATTTAGGGCTTAACTTCAACATACCACTCATATATGCAAAATCTCCAATTATTCATTGTTCACAATGTGGTAGGCAACGGGCGGCTTCAATATCTTGAATATTTTTTCTTTGTGTGTGGAAAATATTCAAAGATTTCATTCATTGACATTGCCCATTATGCGGTTGTGATTCTACTTTTCTGTAGGTTATATGAATTATGATTTTAAGGTATTCGAAAAAGTATATACAATTATAAATTAAGTCGGTCAACAACAAATAAATAGATGGTTAAAAGCTCTCACCTTAATTTTAGTTAATATTAAATTTAATCTCAAACAATTTATCTTATGAATCTATTAAATGACCTTAGTGATAAAAGAGAAAGTTATTCTCCCTAAAGATCATAGGTTTGAAAAGTTACATATGTAGAATGCGTATACATTATCAAAAAATAAAAAATTTATGAACAAATACTACCATGTAATCACTTCATACTAATTAAAAACAAATTATCTCACTTTCTATCATTGGAAAAAAAGGAGGCTTAAATGCACCCTTCCTCCTAAACTATATGCTTTGTATCAAGTTACCCTTAAAGTTAAAAAAGCTAAGGGTAAATTATATATTCAGTCACTCAACTATTTATACAGTTTCATTTTAGTCACCCGACTATCTTTTATTTTTCAAAATCATCATTGAACTTAAGTTTTTGATCCATTTTAATCACTAATTATTCTATTTTCAGCTGAGCTCACTTGAACACATTGAAATGTCGCCAGAGATGTCAGTTCAGCTGAAAATTTCCCACTTCTAACCCTACAAAAAAAGGAAATCTCCCTTTTTAATTAAATAACCATTAATCATTTATTTATTTATAATTCATATTATTTTCGAATTGAAATATTCTAATTTGCAAGTTCAAATCGTTGAAGATATAATTATTAGTGACTAAAATAAAACAAAAACTTAAGTTTAATGATTATTTTGAAAAAAAGTTTGATGACCAATTTAAAATTGCATAAATAGTTTAGTAACTAAATATGTAATTTATCATTGGTTTTTTTGACGGAATTAATGATTTAGGACAAACGAGATAACGATTTAAACTTCAAGGGACAAATCGTCCCAATATAACTCAATATAGACCTACAATGGTGGAGTTATATATATTTTTTTTTATTCACTACAAAGGTGGAGTTAGAAAGCCAGAAAATGTGCTAGTGGATGTACTTCAAAAACATTGTTCATTCAAAAAGATTTTCGCCTTCTCTATAATTGAAGGCATAGTAACATAACATTATTATTAATTAAATAATAATACAAATCTTATTATCATAAATTTTCAAAATATTCTAAATATATATTGATTTGATTTTTTTATTATAAAATATATATTACATTTATTTGATTTTGATTGTGATTATAAATAATTTTATCAAATGATTTATTATCTAGAGATAAAATGATTTGTGTAGAATTTAAATATAAGATAAATTGCACCATCAATCACAAATTATAATTTATTTTTTATTTTGATCACCAAATAAACTTTTTCAAAAAAAATATTACTAACGTTACATTTTTCTTTGATCATCAATAATTAAAAAAAAAAAAAAAATTCACATCATTTTTTTTATCGTCAACCATCTACGCATTTAGCATTCACGGCAACTTTTACTAGGGGTGTAAACGAACCGAGTCGAGCTCGAGCTCGAGTATTGCTGAGCTCGACTCGACTCGAAAACTCTGAAATTGAGCTCGACTCAACTCGAAAACTCGCGAGCTTAAAATTTTCAAGCTCGACTCGAACTCGAAATCTTGAACTGAAGCTCGTGAGCAGCTCGAAAATGCTCGAAATGAAGAAAAGAATTCTTAAACTTAACTTGATTGAAGCCTCAAACTCGAACTCGAACTCGAACCTGAACCTTAAATGCATGAAAATCTTAATGTATTCTCTTTAAAAAAATCAATACATAAATATTAATATTTTTATTTTTTTTTAAAAAAATATAATCTTATATATTATATTTTCGAGCTGCTCACGAGCTTTTTCGAGTCGAGTATCAAGTAGCTTGTTTCGGCACGTTAAGAATTCGAGTCGAGCTCGAGTCGAGTCCATTCGATCCGAGTATTTATCGAGCCTTGATCGAGTCGATCTCAAGTAACTCACGATCTGTCTCGTCTCATTTACAACCCTAGCTTTTACCCCATTTCTCTTATTAATTCTCTATCATCTTCATTCTTTTATTTATTTAACATCAGTATTCTTTTCATTGAGTTAAAAAAACTCAGTTAAATTAAAATTCAGTGATAACCTAAATGATAAAAAGGAAGGTATGAACAAGAAAAGGAAAAAGGGACAATAACGAATTCATAAATCTTTTTGAGTGCAAGCACACGTGCAATAATAATATAAATTTTTTATTCAAATGAAAAAAATAAAATTTTAAAATAAATATAATTAATAAAATAATTAATTAATTAAATAAAATTTAAATTTTATAGTAAACACGTATATACTTAAATTAAAGATGGATTCCCCGCTGAAAAGGGGGAAACTTAGGAATGTGTATGGGTTTGGCACTGTGGTTGAGGCCACTTCTTCCATCATTGTTTCACGACCGAAATGATTAGTCATTTACTATCACTACTCTAGAGAATCTCCCATGGAAATTGCAAAAAGATATGTTTGAACCAAACATTTCCCAATTTCATTAGGTCACTGTTTTCCCAAAATCATTGAAAACCACCAGTATTTCAGATCTTGAGCCGATTTCTTTTCCCACTCAAAATTCGCCCACCAATTATAATTATTGTAATCAGCTAAAGTGTTAAATCTCGGGGGGGGGGGGAATTGGGTTATTTGAAGTTTTGCAAGGACCCGCATTCATAAACAAAAAAGTTCAGTCATTTCAACATTAATGAAAACGAGTCATTGCCTCATTAGTTTTTCAAGACTGTCTTGTTGGCAGGTGGCAATCAAATCATTTTTAGGTGTAATCTTTTCTTTTAAGGGTCTCTTTGTTCATTTCATGAATTCCAAATTTCTTTTTGCATGGGAAATTGCTGTTAGTTTCAATGGTTAATTATTTGGTCATATTGCTGTATCAATGGTTAATTTGACCTTTATTTTCTGCATAGAAGTATGGTTTTGTAGCTCGAGTTTTGCATGACTAGATTTTCAAATGGTAGAAGCCTTAAATCTTTGAAGTTTGTGGTACAAATTAGGGATAGGTATTTGAATCGAGTTTGATAGACTTCCATCTGTTTCTATTTGATCAGGTTGATTTTGCTTTGTTTGTTTAAAATTCACATTTAGATTAGGTTGATAAGATTTTTTGAAGTATAAAATCGGCTCGAGTTTGGATTTAAGATAAAAAATCTAATCCAACCTAATATAATATTATAATTATCTTTTATATGTTTAAAAATAATTACAATAATATCTATATCTATATTAACTTTTCAATTAAATCATTATTTTACTAAATAACAATTAATTATATGCATAATATTTATGCCATATCGGATGCATAAAGTCTTCAACAATTTTTAGATCGAATTCAGATGAATTAAAAATTTAACTCGACCCGACGCATTAGTCATCCTTAAATACATCATTTTCATTTTTCCCCAAGAAACAACATATTCGTTAACCTAACAGAAGAAGAAGAATCTGCCCTGTGTCTTTTATATATTTATCTTCAAGAATCATATTCTCCTGTCCCCTAAGGCATTTCCTTTTCTGGGTTTTCATCAGAAAAGAGTTTTCTTCAAGAACTATTGCAGCTGCAAACACTTGACTTCAAACATGAACAAACTAGGTTGAAAAACAAAAGTGGGCCAAACGAAGAAAATATTAAAAAAAACGAAGAAATTGAGTGACATGATGCCACTTTAACAACTGGTTCTCTTTCTCTCTCTGTTTTTTTTTTAAACTTTTTAAATTACTAGTACAGCTTTCACATGTACACAAAGTTAAACTTACCTATGAGTGCACATGTCCAGAAGCTTTTTCCTCCCTTCAACTATTTCATCAAAGAAATCATCGATTTGTCCAATTATAGTCTCCACCCCACATCTCAATAACCCGAAGCAACTGTTCAAGTTGTCGATCTTGTCTCGGATTATTTCGCTTTCCAATGATCCGTAATTCACCATCCTTTCAATTTCCTCCCTCAGCTCTTCCATGGCCACCTTTGCTTCTCGGAATTCGTATAACATGATCCCGGCTTGTTGGCCGCCGTTTTGATACATTTCATTGGATACTCTTTGGTGGAGCCTCGATATGGAGACCATGAACGGTGACCCGAATATCATGTGTCCTTCGTGTTCGGCGTGGACGAAGCTCAGTTCCGGGCAGTAGTACACGAGACCGCTGAGGAGGATCATTAGGATCAATGAACTGACGTTCCTCATTGCGTAGAGAACGCCTCGGAAGCCGTTGAAACCGTTCAGCTTCGATTCGACGGTGACTTTTTCGTCGAATCGAAGTGATAGTTGCCTTGCTCTTGTTTCTATTAGGTTCCTGTTCTCCTCTTCTAGCCCCACAATTTCCCTTTGGCACCCCACTATTGCTCGTATCACCTACGCATCAAAATTATGCTAAATTCCAAAATTTGAGTAATGGAGGGGCCAAATCAAAATTAATCAATTTTTTTGGCTACTAACCTGGCGAGAGAACTGTAGGTTGAAGTGGAGACGATGATCAAGAGAAGAAGCAATATTGGTAGCCGAGGAACAATAACTTTCAATCCCAGAAATGCCAGATTTGAGCAAAAGACAAGCATCCCAAAGCCTAGAGCTTTCATCCATGTATTCATCGAGCCATTTTTCTCCTACAGGAAGATGAAGCTTTTGGACCAAGAGGGTCAACTGGGAATGAAAAGATCGAAGCGAAGATAAGATCTTTTGGAGGAACTGGATCGATAACAAGTTACAAGAAACGAAGGAGCAATCGAGTTCTTCAAGCCCTCGGTTCAGCAAGTTGTAGAATCCATTTACAGAAGAAGTACTGGTGCATGAAGAAGGATCCATAATAATAATAATAATAATACTAAAACTAACTGTTAAACAAAGAAGAAGAAGAAGAAGGTAGAAAAAGGTGATGGAGATTGATGGATATTTATATTGGGAAAGGCTTAGTACAGGAGAGAAGTGGTGAATATTAGAGCTACCTTAATAGCTCAGTCTTCAATGGCGAAAAGGTATTGTTGTTGGGTGTAATCATGTGTGTTTCCTATAGAGTGGAGGTGATGATTGGGAATCTGTTGTCGCCTACATATCTTTTTTTCTCTATAAAAGAAAGTTGAATCAATGGAAACTTCAAAAGTTTCTTTTATGCAAAGGGATTTTTGTTTAGTACAATTAATAAATGTTAGATTTTGTTCCTTGGGGCTGTAATAGTTTGACTACCTTTAATTCAGATTCTTCTTCTTCTTCTTCTTCATTCTCATTCTTCCATTTTGATTTTGTTATCCTTTTGAATTGAGTGCCCCCCTCTTTTCCCATGCCCTTCGGCTTTTCCCCTTTTATCTTTTCTCCATCTTCTCCAACCTATTCCCCTTTTTTTTTTCTCTTTAACGTGAACCCAAATCAACATGATGAACCCATTTATTTCAAACTCAAATCGATTCGAATATAAAATAAGTTTAATTTAATAATTAACGATTTGCTAAGATATATGTTGAAACACTCTTTTATTTTATAACTATTTTTATGTAAGATGTTTAAAGTTTTTATTAATTTTTTTAGGACGAGGGCAAGACGAGTTAACTTTTTAAATAGATGAAACCTTAAGTATTTTAAATTTTAAGGTTGAATTATACTTTTTAAATAGATGAAACCTCGAGTATTTTATTTTTAAAACTTAAATTTAAGGGATTTAGAAATCAAGTTGGTATACTTAATTGAAGGGCGTATTTGTAAATTAATAGTTTTCTATTCCTTAGCTTCAATATTTTGGGGGTGTTATTCCTAGATCGTGATGTTCTGCTTGTGTTCCAAGTGGGAATAGAGATAATAGATTTGTTCTGAATTAGAGAGATTAAGCATTAATTTATGTTTACACTTTACAATGTGGATTCTTTTGCTTTGCTTTTCCAAGAACCGACATTCTATTTTAGGCATCAAATTTAAGATTGATCTTTTGAAAGGAATATTATTATATTTAACTCAAGAATTCACCTTTTTTTTATTAAATATATTTATATATTATATTTTCAAGATAATTATCGATATTTGAATTCATTTACGATGAGATAGTATGAACATTGTTGACCATTCAACGCCTTTTAATTTAATCATAAAATTTTCTTTTTAGAAAAATTATGAACATAATTCCTCAAATCATACATAATAAGTACAAAACCCTTAAAATTCACCCAAAAATACGTGTTAATGGAGAGTAAATGTGGTCGAACCTCATCTGCAAATTCTGTTAGTTGGAATAGATTAGGCAACAAGCTGTCCTGAAAGGACAACACTTTCGACAGTGATCACTTTGCATTACAATTCATTTATATATTCTGTGGTTCAACCACGTCTTGTAACATCATTTTTCAATATGGATTTGGGTCCCAAAACATCACAGTCAAACAAAATCACACTCTAATGTGCACCCAATTTCCAATTTAAAAAGTTCATTTCATATGGTTTAAGCAATCGGATTATCGTATATCATTGTGCTGAGATTCTAACTATAAATTTGTCGAATATTCTTTTTTGTACGTGCGTAACAAGAAATCTGTTTATTTAGCTTGATTGATTTGATTTATTAAGGTTCTGTTATTATTGTTATAGTAATCTAGCATTGAGTATGTATGCACTAAAGACCATTATCATTGATTTGAAACAATTCATTCCATCATCTTCTAAGCGGTTAGAAAAATAAAATGTTTTAATTCGTAAAAAGAAATTCCTAATCTCATTGTAAGGGAAGAAAAAAACAGTTCCCTGATTGTGTGAGCCTACTAAATTTTCAAACTGTACAAGTTCGTGCCTTCTGGACTAAGCACGGTGCTGAAGAATCATCATGCTCATGGAGTTTTGTTTTACATATGGTGATTTGTTGTTTGTTAGAGACTAATCTCGACAATGCCTTATAAGTTTGGTTTTTTGAATCAACAGAGCTAAGTTCGAGACCCGAGTATTGTTTTTTCAAAAATGTAAAGCTTATCGTTATCTCGAATCAGTTCGATGGACTCGATTTCGGCCCCTGCTTCGTCTGTTACAATCGCGTTTCTGGTATTGATCCTGAGTTTTTCTCCTGTGACAAATGAGTAAAAACGTTACTTGTTCATGGAGAAAACGAGATATAAGATAATAAGTTATGTATATTTCTGCTATGAACCGAACCTGCAAGGTTCATTAGCTCATCAAGGGAATCTGGCAACCTTACTAGTTTCCCAGGCTCTATGCAACGCGATTCTATCCCAATTAAAGGATTGCCTTTATAAATGCGCACCCTTGGATTGCCTTTATAAATGCGCACCCTTGGATTGCCTGCTCCAAGCTTCGACAACAATGATACCGAGTCGGTCCCCGTGATTTGGTGACCGATCTCTCGCTTTTGAAGCATTTCATCCAATGTCGAGGGAGAAAATTCGTATATGTTTGCATTCACGATATCTGCTCCATTCGTTACAAGCAGATTAACCATTTGGTTATGTTTCTCTTTTGTGGCAACCTGCAACGCTGTTAATCCGGAGCGATCCTTCGCATCCAAATCTAGTCCTTGTTTCAAAAGTTCTTGCATCATGGCCAGATCATTCCTTTTGGCAGCGGTGCATAAGAGATCACCGGTGGTGAATGGGTCGGAAATGGAGGCACAATGGTATAGGATCCTGAATATTGAATGGTGCTTCGAGGATAATGCATCCCATAGTGCAGTGTTGCCATTCATGTCTGGCACATATGATCAGTAATTTGATTCATTCCGAGATAAATGTGATTTAAATAATGCAGTATAATGTTATTTTCTTACCTCGTAAATGCAGATTGCAAGCATGCTTGAGGAGCATCAATACACATTCTTCATGCCCATTTGATGCAGCTATGTGCTGAGGAATCAGACAAAACGTGTTTATTATGACCGTCAAATATATTAATTGAACTCTGCATTCTTCTTAAAATTAAAGCTTACCAATGGGGTTCTGCCTTTACAATCTCCTATGTTGGGGTCTAATCTTGCCTTGAGAAGCTCATTGAGGAAAGCAGCATTGCCGGTATTGGCCACATCGAGCAAGCTAATAGACATGTTTCTCGGATCACCATCTTCTTCTCGACCCTCCGTTTCTGAGCCTCCATTTGTAATATCCTTGAGCCTTTTGTGATGCTGCGCAAGTTACATATGTTATTTAATGAAACAAGCAAGGGAGGGACGATAAATAAGGTATCGAAAACTAGAAAATGAACTGACCCGAAGGAAGTTTTTAAGGATAGCAACATTATCCATATGTTTGGCCTCCATCGCTTGGATCAGATCGGCGGTTTTGAGCTTCAATAGCTGACAAAGCGTCTTCGTTCGGAACGTATACCTGTGCGGCCTGCTACAAAGTGCACCGGTTTCACCAAACATATCCCCAGAGCATAAGATTCCAACAATTACTTCCCCTTTCTCCATCTCACACTCGATGATTTCCACTTCCCCCGACACGATGACGTAGACGTCTTCCGACAGGTCGTTTGGCATCATCACGTCTTCTCTCGGCGGTAGGTATTCGGCTTTCATTTTTGCGACCTAATGAATTTTGAAAGATCATCCCAAAGTTCAACAATCCTGGTGTTAGCTACATAAACAAACTCTGTTTACATATTTTGAAACTAGCCTTACCAGGTGGAGAAGAGTTTCCCTTGAAACGCCATTGAATAGGTATACTTTCTCTACTATTGGTAAAAACAAATGCTGGCAAATGCTTGTATAAATGGATTTTGGAAATTGTTCAATGAGATGTTGTTGGTTCAAGCTCTCGGCATGAAACCTCAAACACATGTAAGCCAATATGTGCTCTTTTAACCTTGAGGGCAACCGGTTTCTAGACACAAAGTTTGAAGCCGATTCAATACTATCCCTCTGCACCATCGACAGAAAATCCATGAAAAATCGGAGATACATGTTGGAATCCATCATCATTTAGTCGGACTAACTAACGACATTATAGAAGTAGAGAGAAGTACTTACAAATTCCATGGTACGTCGAGTTCCTTCGACGACTAAATTTGTCATGTTACCGATTATATAAGCAGTCAAGCCGAGGTTGAAGAGCATGTAGCAGATGGTAAAGATCATTTCAGCCATGTTCACTGCATGGAAGTCACCATAACCCACTGTGGTCATAGTGGTGATGGACCAATATAAAGCTGAGACGTAACGGAACCAAAGGCTTGTTTCCCTGAAATTCGGGTTCACTGTCCCAATCCACGTCCTTCCCTCGTGCGGATACCGGTCAGCCATCAAGTAGTAAAAACAGGCAGCACAATGAACCAGAAACAACGTCACCTGCATATCAGTGTGCATCAACAAACAGTTAGTACAGGGCCGATGGGTTGGAGAGAATGGGACCTTGATAACATAATGGTTTCAATGAAGTCCCACCTAAAAAAATAGATGACCTTAAACTGTTAATACACTGAAATTATTTATCAATTTGGACTTGCTAATAAATTTACAAGGGCAGAGAGATCAGATTATGAAAAATCAAAGAGGATTGAATTCCAAATTATAGTGCAGTAAAGGGACTGCAGACATAATTAGACCTAACTTTCACTCACAGAAAGAAGCTTAGCACATCGGACGAAGAAATAGCTGAATCTAATGTCTTTCTCCAGCCTAAATAAAGAGAAAATATATAAAACGTTAGTTTTCTGTAAAACAGAGAAGAATGAAGATTTTTTTAGATACGTATAGGTAGTAGTAAAAATAAAGCAAAAGACCTGGTGAAAAACTCCTTGACCCGCCTAAGTCGCCAAAATCTGAGCAATTCTAGACAGGAATAAGAGAGGCCTAATTTGCTTTTGGTAAACAACAAACGGACAAGTGCCTCAAATGGGATAGTTGATGCCAAATCCATTACGAACCATGTTGAAAGGTACCTACACCCCAATTTCATTTTAATGTACTAAATTCAATTTGATTTTAACTTATTATTTTTTTATAGTGTAAACTACATATTTAGTCACCAACTATAGCTTTAGTTCTATTTTGGTCACTCAACTATTTTTTTTCTCAAAATAATCACTAACATTACGTTTTTATTTCATTTTGATCACCGGTCGTTAAGAAATTAATGGTGATGTTGATTTGTCACCATAAGATAATGTTACGTCATCATTGAAAAAATGTCACGTCAGTAGTTCTATTAATTTTTTTACCGGTGGGTGACCAAAATAAAACCAAAATATAACGTTAGTAATGATTTTGGGAAAAAATAGTTTGATGACCAAAATAGAATCAAAATGGAATCAAAGTGATAGTTGGGTGACTAAATAAGTAGTTTATCGTTTTTAATAATATAAAGGTTAATGTTATGAGTATTTAAATTAGTGAAAACCATTTTTTTAATGTAAAAATGAGTGGACAAACCTCTTGGCAATCTTTTCGCGGTCACGGACGAGCAGTTGAGTAGTTGAATCGATGTATGCAACACAAAAAACGTCAACACGATATCAACGGCGAAAAAAGAATCCACGATGCTGTCGGCGACGTAGAGTGCCATGGGTGGAACCGGAGTCAAAAACGCTACTTCGAATGGATAAACGAATGCCGAGTGATATACTAACACCACCATGAACGTTTCCCAGCACCTGCATTTATCCATTTCACAATAAAACCTATTTGAATCCATAATATTATTCCATCGGTATATTACCTGCATCTTGAATCCATAGGGGAGATGATCCATCTGGAATTTGTTTGGCTGTTGTGTTTGTAGCTTGAAGAACCCAAAGGAGGAAGTATGATCTTAGACAAGCTACTCAAACTCAGATATGTGTCTTCATATAGCGATTCATTACCTTCCTTTTGCCGCTGAACTCCGTCCACCCTCGGCCTCGAGAACGACTTTAATGATTCCGTAGAAGCTTTCATCTCCATTTTCTGAAAACGAGATTGAGTAGTTGATCTTTAAATGTTAAAATATTTTAAAATTTTGAACACATCAATATTAAATCAATCATATTTTTTTATTAATATAATATACTAAAAATATGAATCAAATTGTAAACGTGCGTTTTTAAAACATTATATTTCCGGTAAGATGAGTTGGGAATTTAATTTTCCGGTAAGAAAGACATTCAACAGAGAAAGAAAATACCTTATTTTCCGGTAAGATGAGTTGAGAATTAAATTTTGAGAAGAGATTTTACATTAAGGACTCTCTTCAAGTATTTCTGTCGCCAAAATTTCCTTCGTCTTCGCTTTTGGTTTACAGAATACAGATGAAATCCTTTCATCTCTTTCTCCTCCGAATAAGATTTCTGTCAACTATAGATTATTTCCTTTACCTTTCACCAAGTTTGATTTAGCCGTTTGCTTCCCTTTCCCTGCCCTCCTCCCAAATTTAAACACGTTTATTCTTTAAACACGTCTTTCCCCCTTGATTCATGCATGGCAATCTGATATGTTTTTATTTATTTATAGTTTTTTGGTTGTTTGTTTTATTTCTATATTTAACTGAAATACTTATGGATCACAACTTACTATAATCATGAATGGAAATAAGTTAAAATATAAGAGAATATCAAATTATTTAATTAAAAAATATTTTCATATAATGGCTTAAAACCAAAGTCCAGTATGTACTTAGCATCCTCAAATTGCGCCCTTTGGTATCAGTTCACTGAATTTGATGAATTTATTCAAAATTCTTAATTCATTCCCAGGGAAGAAAAAGCAGTTCACCTACTGTGTGAGTCTATTAATCGTCAAACTATACAAGAAACATCAAGTTGATGGAGTTTTCTGGTAGTAAACTCCATTTGGTATTGCATATGGTGATTTGTTACTGGTTTCTCTTACAGAATAGCCTAATCTCAACACCACCTTCTAAGTTTGGCTAATTGAATCAACCGAGCTAAGTTTGAGATCTAATATTGTCTTTTTCAAAAATGAAAAGCTTATCGTTATCTCGAATCAGTTCAATGGACTCGATTTCAGCCCCTGCTTCATCTGTTATAATCGCGTTCCTGGCATCGATTTCGAGTTTTTTTCCTGCAACAAATGAGTAAAAACGTTACTTGTTCACGAAGAAAAAGAGATATAAGATATAGGTTATATACATTGGTGCTATGATTCGAACCTGCAAAGTTCATTAGCTCATCAAGGGAATTTGGCAAACTTATTAGCTTCCCTGGCTCCATGCAATGAGATTCTTTCCTAATTAAAGGATGGCCTTTGAAAATGCTCACCCTTTGATTACCTGCTCCGAGCTTCGTCGACGGTGACACCGAGTCGGTCCCGGTGATTTGCTGACCGATCTCTCGCTTCTGAAGCATTTCGTTCAATGTTGAGGGAGAAAATTTATATATATTTGCATTGATGATGTCTGCTCCATTCATTACAAGCAGATTAACCATTTGGTTATGTTTCTCTTTCAATGCAACCTGCAATGCTGTTAATCCGGAGCGATCCTTCGCATCCGCATTTATTCCTTGTTTCAAAAGTTCTTGCATCACGGTCAGATCGTTCCTTTTGGCAGCGGTGCATAAGAGATCACCGGTGGTGAATGGGTCGGAAATGGAGGCACAGTGGTATAGAATCCTGAATATTGAATGGTGCTTCGAGGATATAGCATCCCACAGTGCAGTGTTGCCATTCATGTCTGGCACATATGATCAGTAGTGTGATTAATTCGAGATGAATTTGATTTAATTAATACACTGTAATGTCTAGTTCTTACCTCGTAAATGCACATTGCAAGCATGTTTGAGGAGCACCAATACACATTCTTCATGCCCTTTTGATGCAGCTATGTGCTGAGGAACATACAAAGCGCGTTTATTAAGATAGTAACATATGTTAATCGAACTCTTCATTTTTAAAAAATTTAAAACTTACCAATGGGGTTCTGCCTTTACAATCTCCTATGTTGGGGTCCAATCTTGCCTTGAGAAGCTCATCGAGGAAAGCAGCATTGCCGGTCTCGGCCACATCGAGCAAACTAATAGACTCGTTTCTCGGATCACCGTCTTCTTCTCGATCCTCCATTTGCGAGCCTTCTACTGTAATATCCTTGAGCCTTTTGTTATGCTGCAACAAGTTGCATATGTTATTTAGAGAAACAAGCATGGGAGGGGCAATAAATAAGGTATCGAAAACTAGCGAATGAACCCACCCGAAGGAAGTTTTCATGGATAGTAACATTATCCTTATGTTTGGCCTCCATTGCTTGGATCAGATCGGCTGTTTTGAGCTTCAAGAGCTGAAAAAACGTCTTCGTTCGGAGCGTATGACTGTGCGGCCTGCTACAAAGTGCAGCGGTTTCTCCAAACATGTCCCCATAACGTGCCGTTCCAATAACAACATCCTCTTTCTCCATCTCACACTCGATGACTTCCACTTCCCCCGACACGATGACGTAGACGTCTTCCGGCTCTTCGTCCTGCATAATCACGTCCTCTCTCGGTGGTACGTATTCGGCTTTTATATTCGCGACCTAATGAATTTCGAGAACAAAAAAAAACAAAACAAAAAAAAATCCCAAAGTCTAACTTCTCTTGTGCTAGCTACATAAACAAATTCTCTTTACAAATTTTGGCAGTAGCCTTACCAGGTGGAGCAGAGTTTCCCTTGAAACACCATTGAAAAGGTATACATTCTCTACTATTGGTAAAAACAAATGCTCGCAAATGCTTGTATAAATGGATTTTGGAAATTGTTCAACGAGTTCTTGCTGGTTCAAGCTCTCAGCTTGAAACCTCAAACACATGTAAGCCATTATCTGGTCTTTTAACCTCGAGGGCAACCGGTTTCTAGACACAAAATTCGAAGCTGATTCGATTCGATTTCTCTGCTCCATAGAGAAAATTTTCAATTCCATTGGTATTCAGTCGGATAAACTAATGACATTATAAAAATAGAGAGAAGTACTTACGAATTCCATGGTACGTCGAGTTCCTTCGACGACTAAATTCGTCATGTTACCGATTATATAAGCAGTCAAGCCGAGGTTGAAGAGCATGTAGCAGGTTATAAATCCCATTTCCTCAGTGTTTACTGCATGGAGGTCACCATAACCAACTGTGCTCATAGTGGTGATGGACCAATATAAAGAGCAGATATAACGGAACCAAACGCTTGTTTCACGGAAATCCGGGTTCAATGATCCGATCCACGTCTTTTCCCGGTGCCGATTCCGGTCAGCCATTATGTAGTAAATGCAGGCAGCACAATGCACGTGAAACAATGTCACCTGCGTATCAATGTGTATCAACAGACAGAGTCAATACGGGGCTCATGGGTTGAAGAGAATGGGACCTAAAACAAGGCCTTGTGTGATCACACAATAGTTTTTAAAGAAGTCCCTCTACTCTGTTGAATTTCATCATTTTAATTTGGTAAAATCATAGAAGGTCCTTGTATTATGTCTTTTTGGATGAATCTGGTCCCTCTACTATAAGTTGATCACTTTAATTTATGAGATGTGTAGTTAATTCCATCAAGTAATTTGGCATAAGTCATTTGTTTAAAATATAATATGATATGAGACGTTTTTATTCAAATATATCTTATTTAAAAATTATTTTATATTTTAACACTAATTCAAGTTTATTTCTTAATTCAGTGGAAGATTTTTTTTACAAGAAACGTTTTTTTGAAAAAACTCCTTCCGCTTATGTGGGAAAAATGGGTTGAAAGAGAGATAAGAAAAATATAAGTAAAAATATGAAAGAAAGTTATATGAATTTTATTCTAAAAGAACAAATACATATGGTACGTGTCGAAGACACATAATTACATGAGTATGAGTTGAGCAACGACATACGTGTATTAATCTTATATTTAATCACTTAATAAATGTATGCTTAAATGTGAGATTTAAAAATCCCTTTGAGCTTCTTAAATCCCACATTATTTAGATATGCGAGTTTTTATGTATTTTTTATTAAGAGTTTTCATATATTTAAATATAGTTTTTTGAACATGTGTTTATTGAGTAATTGAAAATAAAGCTAATATATGTGTGTCATTGCTCAACTTGTACTTGTGTGATTATGTGTTTTTGACGTGCACAACATGTGTTTGTTTTTTTATATATATATATATATATATATATATATATATATATTCATATTTCCTGCCTCTATTTTTCTTTTTCTTTTATTTTAACCTATTTTTACCACATAAATGAAAAAAAGTTTTTGTAGGAAGTGTTTCCTGAAAAGAAAAAGTCCTTTATGCTAACCTGATATACAAAAATACCATATTAAAATATAATCTTAAATGAATGTTAAAAAGGAAAATAAATTTAAAATGTGTATAATTAAATGAAAAAACTATAAAATGATACACGCCTTGATATTTGTTTATAATTGAATTTTTTTTGCACATTTAAAAAGGACAAAAAGAAGAAAAGAAGAAGATATAATATTCGTCAAAACTTACGGAAGACATTAAGATACATGTGTCATATCTCTCAATATCAAGATTTTAATCTTTCCCACTTTTAAGTTTATCTCTCAATTTTAGAGGCAGAAATAAACAATTATTAATTTTGACCAACTAATAATATTATAAAAGTAAAAGGATCAAATTATAAAAAAAATAAATTTCAATATTTAGCATAATAAAGGGACTGCAGCAGCAAACATAAATAGACCTAGCTTTCACTCACAACGATAAGCCTAGCAGATCGGATCCAGAAATAGCTGACTCGAATATCTTTCTCCAGCCTAAAAAACGTATAGATTCAAGGGTTAGACGAAAATTTTGATTTAAAACATAGAAGAATGAAGATTTTAAATAATGAAATAGAGAGAAAAAAACCTGGTGAAGAACTCGTGGACCCGCCTGAGTCGCCAAAATCTGAGCAAACTCAAACAGGAATAAGGGATACCTAATATGCTTTTGGCATTGAACAAATGGCCAATTGAATCAAATGGGATTGTTGATGCCATATCCATTATGAACCACGTCGATAGGTACCTACACCCCAATACCAATAGCCATATTTTTAACTCAAAACATATAATTTATCGTTAAATCAATTAATTTAATAATCTGATTATTTTTAAAATCATTAAGTTCCCATAACACCCAAATACCCAAGGTGAGTCCCTAGTGACCCTAAAGAGCTTTTACTAGTAGATATTATTGTCACTTTTATTTTAACATCAATAATTATATATCAATATGTTTTTATCAGTTGTTTTGACTTCTGAAATTGATTTATACATATATCGTATTAAGTTACTACACAAAAATATTTGAGTGTAATATACCTCAAATCAACAATTTAAATAAATAAAAATTACTATTAAATAGTAATTTATGACAATTCATATAAAATTCCCAACATTCATAGTGGTTGTTTCAATTTTGATTTTACTTTCACTATAATTTAACTTATGTTTCTTTCCTGTAAAATGTTTAACAGAAAATATTCTTTGTTTTTCTTTGATAAGTCATTTTCCCAATCCCTTCACCATTTCCTCTAACAAATTTATAATGGTGTAAATAAGGTTAAAGGAAAGAAGGAAAAAAAACTAATTAATAATAATGTAAATAAGTTAATAATATATTTTTTTTTCAAGTTTTTGACAGATAAAAATGAAAGTTTGAGGGTAAAAAAATTAATTGATCCTATTATAAATAAATTAATAATTTTTTTTAATTATAAATAATATTAATTAAATTAGTATAATATTATAAATGAATTTTATAATAAAAAATATTATTTATTATAATTTATATTAAATTGAATATTTTTTAAAAAAAATTATCAAACACGGGAAAATGATTGCCGATTTAGACAACATAACATCAGAAAATGATTTCTCAAAGTTACTTTTTAGAAATAATAATTCATATTCAAATTTTACTTTTAAAAAAAATGTTTCCGGTGAAATAAATAAACACTAATTAAATGTGTTGAGCTTGGTTCTTAAAAACAACATTTTATATCGAAATTAATAAAACTAATTTTAAAATACTGTATAAAACATTTTGTAAAAGGAAAAATAGTAGAATTTGTAAAATAGACAGATGAGTAAAGAAAGTAAACCTCTTGGCAATCTTTTTGCGGTCACGGACAAGCAGGTGAGTAGTTGAATCAATGTATGCAGCAAAAAACGTCAACACAATATCAACGGCGAAGAACGAATCCACAATGTTGTCGCAAACGTAGAGTGCACTTGGTGGAGTCGATGCGAAAAACGCTATTTCGAATGGGTAAACCCATGCTGAATAAAACACTAACACCACCATAAATGTTTCCCAGCACCTGCATTCCATATCATCTTGAATTATTTAATCTAAAATTAGACGTGTTCAAGAATCGGATTAATTCGAATCAACGCTATTCGAATTCGTGTTTATATACGTACCTGTATCTTGTATCCATGGGAGATCCCGTGGAATTTGTTTGGTTGTTGTGGTTATAGCTTGAAGCACCCAATGGAGGAAGTATAATCTTTGACAAGTTACTCAAACTCAGAGACGACCCTTCATCTACCGATTCATTATCCTCCTTTCGCCGCTGAACTCCGTCGGCCCTCGGCTTTGTCGTGGTCCAATCTCCGTCGACCCAATTGAACGACTTTAATGATTCTGTAGAAGCTTTCATCTCCATTTTCTGAAGACAAGGTTGATTAGTTTTAGCAACTTGGGGCAGTGAATTAAAGGTGATGAGAAGGTAGTACTACTAAAACAAGAGAGCTGATATTGTTATAGTGGATATAGGAGAGAATCGTTGGGGTCTTAGAAATAAAATAAGGGCTAATTCAAGTAAAGATTCTCGAACTATTGGTTAAATTTTAAATTGGTCTCTAATTTAGGTTTTACGAGGAATATATTTGAAATATTAAAATAAAATTATAAACACGTGATTGTAAACCACATAGATAGTTTGGTTCCAACTTATACTATATTGATAATTTAAGGGTACAATTCAGATCAATTCAAAATTGTGCGACGAAATTAACTCAAAAATAAAAATAAAAAGTCATTCAAGAAAATAATTAGAAAAAGATACCTTTCCCCCGTGAGATGCCTTGCGGATTAAATTTTCAGAAGACATATTACGTTTTTTTCCCTCTTCATGCATTTCTCTCTTGCTAAGATTTCCTTAGTCTTTTTTTTTTCACCTCCTTTCACAGGTTTGATTTTACCCAGTTTTTCCTTTAATCTCTTTCACTTTCGTTTTTTTTTTGGGTATGATTATTCCTTTTCCCCTGGTTCATGCATGGTGATCTTATATGCTTTAATTTATTTACAGATTGTAAGTTATTTATATTTAGTTAAAATAACCACGGATTTAATACTCTAATCCAATAATACTTTGATTCGTTTTAATGGGTTTATGTTGATTCCTAACTAGAATCTCTTGTATATGTCTTTTGAGTTTACCTTCTTTGTCGTAGTTTACTAATAGGGTTTTACTAAATCCTAAATCAGGTGTGCCGTTTCTTATAAATAGTGCATGCAATAATGATAAGGCAATTCTATATATATATATATGCATGTACAATTAGTCTATATAATTAGTCAAATTTATTTTTCATGATTTATTTTTAATGAAAGTAATAGATCTTTAGCTCAAAGAATGGAAACCACGGGCATTAAATGATGTGTATTTGGAAAATATTGGTGGGCTGTGCAATATTTGGCTTTTTAGGTACTAAATTTGCATGACGTTGATTGTATGTATAATTATTAATGGAACGAAGGATCATAACAGAAAAGAAAAGAAAAAGAAATGAGGGATTGCATTTAGAGCACTTTTTAGATATTATATTTTATAAATTAATAATAATATTATATTAGATTATTAGTAAGTTTATTCCATATTTTAATGTATTGGATGAAAAATATTACTGTGTATAATAATTTTAAGACATGATGTTAAAATTAATATTTAATATTACATGTATATATTATTAATGTGACATATTATACATCATCATTTTGAATGACATGACGTGTAACAAATCAATAATTAAACATATACAAAAACGCCTATTAAACAACTTATAGGCATTTTTACCGAAATATCACCCTCACGCCTATTAATTAACTGTTAGACACCTTATCTCCTAATATTATCGATCTAGCACCCTTTCTGACAAAGATCCACGCCTTATCTAAACCTCTGACATATACAGAATGCATGGATCATGAAGCGCGTCTTTCAAAAGTCCACATCATCTCTCAAAGCATTTTAAAAAATATTCTTTAAAAATTAAAAAAAATTAATTTAGTATAAACCTTAATAATAAATATTAACCTAATGTAATTATTTAAATATATTAACATATTAAAATATTTAATCTTAATTAATATAAACATTAATAATAAATATTAACCTAATGTAATTTAACAATAGTGTATAAGTAGATTCATTAGATATAAAGTTAAAAAAGTTAAGGAATACACCTTTTAGCATTTATCCCACATTGTCAATAAACATAACATAAACACTCCAATATGCATATATAAGCTAACCCCATTAAGATCTTCAACTCATGGAACTAATATGTATTAAATTACGATGTTAGTCTCTATAGTTTTATTTTTTTAATTTTTTTTAAACATATTTTTTAAAAATACTTTTAGGGATAATGTGGACATATGGAAGGCGTGCTTCATGATCTGCGAGGATGACGATCGGCACTTTCCCTTACGTGACTTCAGCTCGGACAAAACCCCGCTAAGGCGAGAATGAAAATTTACGCTTTGTCAGAAAGGGTGTTAAATCGATAATATTAGGAGAAAGAATATCTGACAATTAATTAATAGGTCTAAGGGTGATATTTCAATAAAAACGTCCAACTTATACATCTTGTTTATTTTAATTAAATATTACTTTATTTTTTATTTCACACCACAAAAGAAATATTTTCTTTTTGTTAAAATTAATATTCATTGTTGAAACTATAGGTGTTCAAATTAATATGTTATTGTGTAATAACCAATTTTCACTCCTATATATATTTACTATTATATTTTTTATTATTTATTTAAAAAATATAATAATACAAAGAAAAAAATTCAAATTTCTATAAATTTCCATTCTGCTTTGTGCCTTCACACCCCATACCTTTAACATTTGATTCATGTTTTTCTTGGGTTTGAGAATTAAGTGAACTATAGATTGCTCACGATTTTTCTTTCTTATGGTTGAAGCTAACAACTCCAATAGTTCATGCTCTTTGATTCTCTGTTGCCTTCAATGTTGAATTTCCTTATACTGATGGCATGTCCCTCTCCTTGAGATGATCCTTGTGTTGGTGGTTGTCTTAAGTGCAATGAACCAACTAAACCATTCTCTGTAAGATCAGCTAAAGCACTGTGCCTACTATGTTCTTGTTTCATGGTCATATCAGTGAAAATAATTTGGTCTGGTTGTACTCCTTGTGCAACAACATACACTCGCAATCTCATTTCTCCAGCAGCTGGAAATCTAAGGAGACAAAGTGCAAAAATAAATTTATCTTCTGGAATACCATAATCAGATTGTTTGTACTGACAAGTTGGATCCAACACATCATGATTTTCCTGCTTATAACCATTCACAAAATAGCAATGAGGGAGATGGACAATCTTCTCAGAATAAATGTGTGCATAGCGCAAAGGAGAAACAAACTCATCAGTGACCAAGTAATTAATGTAAACTGCCCCAATAGTCTCAGGTAATCCCATATATGAGACTTGTACAGGTGCAGGCTGCATGGAGAAAATTTCATTCCTTGCACCCTTGGTATAACCATTCATGTTGATAAGGATATGTACTTCATCCTCATTTATCATTTTGGCAATTACATTTGATGCCTAACATAGACATCTATAAAATGATCGGCTTCAGACTGGATACGCTGCCTCCATTCAGTACTATCATTTGGACTCAAGGCATAGCAAAAGACCTCAACATTCTTTCTGTTGTGCATGCCAAATATTGATCCCACGAGGTGAGACAACAGGTGGTTGCCAAAGTCACTGCTGACATAACCGACCTTTAATCTCCCATTTCCACCATTGTTCTTGATATGAATTGATACAAGATGATTGAAAGGATGGAGAGCAAAACATGATGCAATTATGGACCAATGAGCAGTATATTTAAGGCTTATATCAAGGGCAAGCATTGGATCAATAAGATATGCTATAGCATGGAAAGGTTGCACAGTGGAAATAACTGACATAGTAATGTGCCTTCGGATAATTCCTTCAACTTCAGTAAACATTTTATTGCGTTCCTCCCAGCTGTACACACACTGTAATGTATGTATGGGGTTATAAGTAGCTTCAGGAAAATCAGGTCGAAAAAGCAGTGCATGCTTATAACTTTTGATGGCAGTTTCCACATCTCCACTGTCTTTATAAGCAAAAGCCATATTTACATTTGCTACTTCCATATTTGAACGGATGTTAATAGCATGAATATAATCATGAGTTGCATCTGTGACTCTACCAATCTCTTTGTATGTGTTACCCTTGTTTACTAGCCCATCAATTGCTAAGGGATCAATTCGCAAAACCTCATTATAACAAGATATAGCTTCCACATAGTTTCCAATTTGCTTATAGATTACTACAAGGTTGTTGAATGGAGCAGACAACCTTGTTGTGACAACCAATGTAGCCTTATAGTAAGAAGCAACAACAACCATGTTCCATTCCATATATATGTTCCCCAGGTTGGTAAGTGCTTGGGAATGATTAGGTTGCAAATTGAGTCAGTGCAGGTAAAAGTCTGCATCGATAGTTTTCTAAACCAACCCCGTTTCAGAGTCTGCCATCAATTCTTTCCCATTTTTGGCTTCCATATTTGCATCTCCAATATTCCTCAATTGATAATGCTCCATCCTCCATCCGGTATCATAATAAGTGATTGTTCTCCTTCTTAACTCTTCTAGAAACTGCATTTGATTTTGAAGAAGTCTGATTCAGATTCAGCTCCTCTCAAATTTTTGTTCTATCCATGTAGAGGTAAGACTTCGGACTTTGGTATTGATTTAACCAGTGGATGCGAACCCCTTTAGACTCACATTTGCTGAATTTTTCAGCACCACGATTGAGAAGTTTGTCACCACTGCTATGATTTATGCAATGATGAAGCTTTAACGTTTTCTCAAACATTTTATGCCCTTTGCAGTGAAGTATCATAACACCATTGTTGGGGCCACTCTTTGTAGTTTCAGCATAACATTTAAGTGGTGGATTAGTGTTTTCTAGCTCAGTTTTGGGCATAAAGCAAGCTTCTTCAAGTGTACAGACAGAGTAGATGTTCTTACCGTAAGCATCATCCATTATAGCCTTTTTATCGTTTTTCGTTGCATGTTTCTGCTCATCTTTTATTTCTGCAGGATCTTGACCATCAAAGAGGTTGGATGATTCAATGATGAATGGCTCAGCTTCTTTTACTTGCATTTTGTCGAACACCTGAGATACATTACCACAACCCTTCTGCTATTATTTTTGCTCACTCTTTGTACTAGCCAAAATCTGGAAGATCTGCTCCACCGATCTCTGGGTTGTGTCCATTTTCGTCTCCAAATTAGTTATGCGAGTATTATGTGCTTCCCACCATTTTGGAGGAGTTGATTTAGTCGTTGTATGTTTTATCATCTTGGTGAGATCGTCAAGCTGCTTCTGAATCGCATAAAGATTAATGGAGTCTGTCATGCCTTGGTTGTTTGCTTCAAGCTACCAAGAAATGATGGCTCTGAATTCCAATTTGCTATGACCCTAGTGTGATTAGAGAAGAAAAATAGACAAAGAATAGTAGAGATAGACAACGAAGAGAAGAACGAGAATTTAGGAAATTAACTTTTCATTCATTGATTGCATAAGATAATCATTCTATGGCAATACTCTCTATTTATTTGTTTATAGGTACCAAATCCGTGGATTTGCCAGCTGTTGTTCTTGGCTAACAACCTCAACGTTCACTATTGATATTGGCTTCTTATTTTGGGTCTGTTCACAATCCACCTGATTCATGCTAGTCCCCTTGTAATTACTTCTGGCCTCCTCATGTGCAGGGTAAGTAAAAATCCCCAAATCTTCAGATACAATCCCTAACCCTTGATTTCTTATTTTTCCCCTTTTTATCATCTAGTCTCACCTTTTCTACTCTGATCATGATATAGTGCTAAACGGTAAGATGATTGACTAATGCATGAAATAAACTAAAATAGAATGCATTTGAAATGAGAGTCAGTTCATTCCATTATCGTATTACATTTCTTTATGTAGCAACTAATTAGTGTCAAGTACAGCTGAAGGGTTTTGCATGATTCAAAATTAAGAATTATTTTTAACTGATTATGATTTGTTAACTCACATTTCTTCCTCTTCCCATTCTTTAGGGCATTCTTTGCAATGCATTGGAAAGCTTCTTCCACATTAACTCCCTCCTTGGCAGATGTCTCAAAATACGGGATATTTCCTTTTGAGGCACACCATGCTCGAGCCTTTTTCCAGACACCTAAAGAATCCACAAGAAGAGGATAATTGTATCTTTGTAGAGAAGAAGCGAGAAATGACATGTAATACAACTACAGAGGAAGAAAGAAGAATAAAAAATAAATATACATACTACTCTACTGTTTCCACCATCCACATCAATTTTGTTTCCCAAAACAACAAATGGGAAATTCTCTGGATCCGAAGGGCTTGCCTGCAAGAGGTTTTTCAAATCATCATTTTTCTACTTGATAAATCCTGTAGAGCTGATTTGCTGATTTAAACAGAATTCAGAAATTCAGATTAAATGTACCTGAATAAGAAACTCTTCTCTCCAATTGTTAAGGTTGTCAAATGATTTCATCAAGTTGACATCGTATACAAGAACACAGCAATCAACACCGAGGTAGAAAGCAACACCTAGGCTCTGGAATCTTTCCTGGCCAGCAGTATCCCAGATCTGGGAAACAAAATAATGTTGAAAAATCACAAGCAAGCGGCCAACCATAAAACGCAAGAAAAGCTAAAACAAAACCTCAATCCTTTCAGAATTAATGCTACAATTTGCTAGATTAATACTCAATGGGGGTCCATAACACCGTCTAACTCTACTGTGTAATTTACAGAACCCTTCTTAATGAAAATAAATTTGTGCAGTGATCATATCAACCAAAGTCCAATCAATGCGCAATAAAACATAATTCCCAAGTCAGCCATCACAAATTCGCTTCTAGTCAATTCTACAACTAGAGAAAAAGTAACCATCTCCGAGTTTTTTCCATGAATAAAAAAGAAGGTGCCACTAGCAGCTCCAAATTAGTGAGATCACAGAGCAAAGTAAGATGCATTTGCTACAGATCAGATCATAGGTGTAATTAATAAATCCTGGTTAAGCTTTATTCCGCCATAGCTAAGCTAAGTACAAGAGCTAGAGATAAAAAGCAAGCCACTTCATTATCGAAATCACTAACCAGCACGAGAAATTCAGATCCCAAAAACCAAATGCAACAGCTGAATCAAGCTCATCAAAATGTTAAAAAGAAATGCTTGTATTTGAGCTCAGGAATCAGGATACTAACTTTATACTAAATCAAGCATGTTTGTTCTCAGCACGAAACCTAACCTGTAAAGTGAATAGCCTATCCTCAAACTGCACTTCCTTTGTCAAGAAATCGGCTCCAATTGTTGCCTTATACTGATTGCTAGACTTCTTATTCACACATCTAAAAGCAAATTGCAAAGACAAGCAATATATATATATATATGGTTCGTATTGATAACAACGAAAAGGAAATTCAGAATATAGTAAGTGAGTTGCTCTTGGACTTTGTTGGTCTGGCAGAAAATTCCGTAGGAAAATTGGATAAAGTTTCCAGCGCTTCCCCCCCAACCCAAAGTTCATTTATTTTTAATAAAAATTTGGATATCATTTTTTTTGTTGAAATATACAAATAGTAGGATGTCAATATGACCCGAACCCGAAGGGGAAACTCGAAATCCAGTCAAGTTTGGATCGGGTCGGGTTGAATGATATCGGGTCGGGTTCGGGGATATTTTTCGGGGATTTGTTCGGGTCGGGTTCGGGGTAAGGTATCCCCGCCCCGACCCGCCCCGATTATATATATATATATATATAATATTTTATATTTTTTATATTAATTATATATATAATATTTTATATTTTTTATATTAATTATATATAAAATATTTTCGGGGTCGGGTATAATATTTCGGGTCGGGTTCGGGGATGGGGCAAAAATAATCCCGACGAGGCGCCCTGATAAAAAACCCGTCAGGGATCGGGTCGGGGATGGGGATTCATTTCGGGTTCAGGGACAGGGCGAGCAAAACTCGCCCCGAACCCGACCCGTTGTCATTCCTAACAAATAGTAGTTCAACTAGGATAATGTTTTGTTGAGTCATTCAATTAGTAAAAGCTAGAAAATTATCATTTGATTATAGGATGTTATTTTTTGAGTCCCTCAACTATTAAAAGTTACAAAATAATCACCAGACAATTTAGTATATTCCAAACTCGTCATTTTCAGTTAAAAATTGACAACAGTCTGAGCTAGATGTTAACCTTTTGATTGAGATGTGATAGTTTTTTTAGATTATGTAATCAAATTTTATCATATCTTAGTCATAAGGTTAACATCCAGCTCAGACTGTAGTCAATTTTTAAACGGAAAAGGACAAGTTTGGAACATACTAAATAGTCAGGTGATCATTTTGTAACTTTTAATAGTCGGATGACTCAACAAAGTAACACCCCATAGTTGAAGGATTATTTTATAATTTTGAATAATCGAAAGACTCAATAAAACATCACTTTATAGTTGTATGACTATTTGTATATTTTACCCTTATATTTTATAGTTCGATGATAGATCAATTTACTCTTATTATAATATATTAATAATATTTAATTGAGAATCTCTAAAATCTATATTATTTTGCAATCATCTTAAAATAATAATAAAAATAATACTTTGAAAGTATAGTATTTCTTAAAAAATATTTTATTAGAGATTAAAAATCTATTATTTTCTTAAATAATATATACTATTATTTTTTACTAGTCAAGGGTGATCAAATGATTAAGTTTGGGAATAATATGTTCAAATATTGATTCTTAATATTTTATTCTAAGGTAAAAAGACTTCTAATATTAAATTGAATAGTTACTTTGGCCGTTATTTTTTTCTAAAACATTTTGGCCCACAAAATTTTATTTTAAGGTAAAAATATTCTTATTTTTTAGCATTAGTCGTTTGATAATTAACAGATTTTATCTATGAAGGGTCTTTTTACCTCAAAATGAAACATTAAATGTCAAAATACTCCAAAAATTAATACAAATCATAAAAACTATTTAATTAAATATTAGAGACTTTTTTGACATTATACCTTTAGCACACTATCATAAAGTAACCCGAGAATATGAGTACTGAATGAGGAATAATATCCATAATTATTCCCCTTAGGTAAAAATTGAGGAAGAATTTTTGTAACATTTTTAATTTCACCATTTAAAATTAGTTCAAATCAAATTATCGAAAATATGATATTTATTATTTTATTATTTAAATATTCAAGATTCGAACTTAATTGACTTTGATCCATTAATATTATATTAGTTTTTATTTTTTTAGGATTGAATTGAAAACTAAATATGATAAATGGCATTGTTGTGTGGCCAAATGAAAAAATGATAGTTGAGGTCCATAATTTGTAATTGGACCTAAATGAAATAATGGAAAATTAAGTAGAGGGATTTAAACCCTTGATCTTCATTTAATGATTGATCAATGGATCCTAAGGTGGTGTTTGGTTGGCATGAATCCCTTAGAATTAGGGGGAATTAGAATCTAATTCCACCACTTTCCCATGTTTGGTTTAAGTTTTACAAGGGAATTGAAATCCTTCATGGCTTCAACTTTCCATCAAATGATGGAAAATGAATTCCATCAAAAAAATGGATGGAATTCAATTCTTTTGTTGGAGGGAATTGAAATTTGACCATACTACCCTCATCAATCTTTTGATAACTTATTCATATATTGAATAAAAATATTTTTTATTATTATTTCGGGTCGGGTCAGGTTTCTAATTCATATATTCGGGTCAAGTCGGGTGAAACTTTATTTTGGTCGGGTCGGGTGAAACTTTAAGTGTGATATTCGGGTCGGGTCGAGTTTGGGTTTATAGTGAAAAATACTTGACCCCAAAATATATATAATTTTACCTTATATATTTAGGAATAATTACAATAATACCCCTCTATATATAATTTTTTTTCAATTAAGTCACTGTTTTTATTGAATAAAAATAATTTTTTTATTACTTCGGGTCGGGTCGGGTCAGATTTCTAATTCATATATTTGGGTTGGGTCGGGTGAAACTTTATTTTGTTCGGGTCGGTCGAGTTTTTTAAGTGTGATATTCGGGTCGAGTCGGGTCGAGTTTTTTTAAATGTGATATTCGGGCCGGGTTCGGGTTTAGGGTGAAAAAAACCGGACCCGACTCGAAAAAAATATATAATTAAGAATAATTACAATAATACCTCTATATATATATTTAATTAAGTCAATGTTTTTATTAAATAAAAAGGATTTTTATAATTTATTGAAATGAATAATCAATCAATAAAATGAAAATTTAATATTTTTTAATTTTTATAATATATTACTACATGTAAGTTGTAAAACAAACTAAAATAAAGCAAAAAACCAAAAAGGGCAATTCTTTCATTTTATATTACTGAAATCAAATTCATCTGACATGTCTCCGAACCAAACAAAATATGGAATTGGATTCCGATTCCAATTCCATTTCCTGCCAACCAAACAGAATATGGAATTGGATTCTGTTGAGTTAATCGATCGATGGAATTGGCCAAGAGGGGTTGAATTGGCAATTAAAATTTTGGATGAAGCTTTTGCAGAAAATTGAAAAGATTTGCACATCGATTTAGAGTGGTTCGACTTTCTCAACCAAAGTCTATGTCCACTACCTTAGCTATCCACACTAAGGATTTTCCAACAAATTCACTAATTTTTTCTTTCTTTTGAGGCCAAAGAGATAACCTTACAACTCCCTCAAGAATATACCCCAATTCTTGAGAACACTCTTTCTCAAAGAGAATATTACAAATTTGCAAACTTACAAGGAAATCCTCACAAGGTAGATTGTTTGCACAATTCTAGAACAAAGAAAAGAACATTAAAAAATGAATACAATTGAGTACAAGTAGTGTTCTTGAAAGCAAAATGAATATTGAATGAAAAATAGGCTTGAAATGCTCAAACTTAAGGTTTGATGCTTTCTCTTTGATTCTCTCTTGATTCTTGTTTCTTGTGTTTTCTTGTTGTTGATCAATGGCTTCTAAGCTTGTTTAAATAATCCTTCAAATGATTATGAACGTTGGGGATGATTAGCGGAGTCAATAGAGCCGTTTAAGTGTGAAAACAATTAATTAAATCAGTTGGGAGCGTCAGTGCATCGATGCATACCCAATGTGCATCGGTGCATCAAGTGTAAAATTCAAATATTTTGACCATTGGACCCTTAGTACATCGGTGCACTAAGAGTGCATCGATACATAAAATGCATTCGATGTTTCAAAATAGCCTGAGTGCATCGATGCATGGCTGGTACATCGATGCATCAAATGCATTCTATGTTTTCATAAAACTCTGAGTGCATTGATGCATAGTATGTGCATTGGTGCATGAAATGCATTCGATGTTCAATTTATTCCATTGTGCATCGGTGCATCATTCTAGAAAATTGATTTTAGGCTTGATTTTGGTTCAAAATACTTTGTGAAAATTGTTTCAAAAATATATTAAGTATAAAACACAATTTTACACATTTAGTAAGGTTTGAAATTGATCTTGAAGACTTGGAGTAATAATTTGATATTCGAGTAATTAAATCGAATATACTTAGAAAATCATTTGCAAAATCTTAAAATTTATTTATACTTAATTTTTTATATCGAAACATCAAAATATTTTCAACAATCTCCCCCTTTTTGATATAACAAAACATGTGTGTAATTTTAAGATTTTCTTTGAAAATAAATTTTGAAAAATTACTCCCCCTTACTCTAACACTTCTCCCCTTTAACACTTTTACACTTCTCCCCCTTTTTGTTAAATCAAAAAGACTTTAAAACGATCTAAACAAGGTTTTGAAAAACACAGCCAATTGGTTAAATATATATATATATATATAGCTTCAGCTGCTAAGATCAAAGATCAAAAGAGAGATTAGTCATTAGCTTTCATAAACAATATTCATAATCAAATGTGAAATGGTATAATTGGTCATATATGTCTAATGATGCAAAAATAAGAAAATTCAACCAAACCAAATATATATATAGTAAGTTCAAACATCCAATCATCCAACTCCTAACAAATTCAAACATTTAACAAATCAAAACAAACACTCCAGAAACATCAAAATCAATCTAAGTTTTAAAATCAAGAAAGCATAACAATGATAGATCTAGTCCATCGGAGGATCGGGAGGAGGAGGAAATCGTGCTTGCATCTCAAGAGAGAGAGCATCTATACGTGCAAGCATCTACCGTTGAAACTCCATTTGTTAAGCTTCCAATGCGTCCAAGCGATGATGCACGACTTCATTGTTAGCAGTCAAATGGGATTCGATGGAAGCAAACCGCAAATCAAATGTGTAAGATCCGCAAATCAGAATTTGGTGACTAGAGTAGAACCATGGATTAGTTCAATGATTTATTTGGAAATAAATCATAAAAGTTGGTAATTATTAAATGAAGTAAAGGGTAAAATGGTCAATTGACAAGGAAAGATATTTTCTCCCCTTTATTAGGAGATTAATACGTGGGGGAGAGGAAGATGAAAGCTCTCT